ACCTATGAGCATGTAGTATCTTATGAGTTTTTGTGAATATAAGGTCAGTTATATTAAGAGTTAATGAGCTCAGTGTGTGTGTGTGTGTGTGTGTGTGTGTGTGTTACCTGGGGGGCTGCGAGAGACGATGAGTGGACTTGAACTTTGAGCCTCTGCAGCCTGAAGACAGAAACAGAACTGATTTTACAAACTCATCGTCTCTGTTTACGTTTGTTCTTCTGCTGCAGAAAAGTTCTGGTTCTGTGAATAAATTCACGTCAGAAACAATAAATTCAAATTCAACAAAATTAATTTCTCTCTGGAACTCAACACATTAAAAGTCCTCCAGTCTCTCCAGACTCTTATTAACATGCTCTTAATGTGAAAATCCTGCAGGTGTTGAGCTTCACACAGAAAACTGAAGCACTGAAGTGGAAAGTGGACGTTATACTCGGTGAACTGGGACCTACGCTGTCCTACGTTAAAATCTACAGGCGTAGACGAAGGTGGTGGTGAGAAGTCTGCCTGTTACAGTTGATTCTGCCACATGGGGGCGCTGATGCACATTCAGAGCTTATGGCTGCTGTAAACCACCAATCAATATCCACCACAGTTCCTCTACAGCTTCATGTTTTGACCAGACACACGTAAACATGAGAAATCAAACATCTGACGTCTGTTTCACTGCCGCTTTAATGATCATGTGACTTTAGCGCCACCGTGTGGACAAGCTGTTCACCTGCGTCATGTTGCAGCTGTGACTGTGAGGTCTCACCAGGTGAGTGTTGTCAACTGTTAGACTGAAGCTGCAGGTGCTGGACGTCGATCTGGAAATTTGACTGCTCTCCTTCACGTGAATCCTACGGATAAGAAAACAAACATCGGATGATTCAGACCTGAGTTCTGCATGTTTGTATATTCTTCTTATTAATAAGAATAATATTATTTAGACGATGAAAATAAACTTATTTTCATAGTTTTATGTTTTATCTTCAGCTGCAACAATCTGAGTATGAGCAGCGTGTCCATAGAAAACAATGGGGGATCTAACACTAAGCCCTGTGGAACCCCACAGCTGAGACACAAGACACTTTTAAATTCTGAACGTCTCAGACTGTTCACATTAAGTTGTAAAAGTCAGTGAATCAGTTCAAAGAGTTGTTATAGCCTGAGTTTAGATTAAACTTAATATGTTGTTTTTTACGTCTGTGATTTTAGAGTTTACAGACATGTTGATTGTAAAAACTTGGAAAAACATTTTTTGTACATGTTTACGAGCTGAAACTCTTCTTGTTCTACTTCACTGGCTTTGTTGGCACATTGCTTGTTCATTGTGTTACCGCCACCTGCAGGTCAGGTGAGAATAATCTGACGCCACTGTGTTGTGCCGATGAAGCTGCTGAGGAAGAAAAAAAACTCAAAACGAAGAAAGGATCAAACGAGGAGGAAAACCTGCCGAGTTACCATCTCACCTGTCCCGTTGTCCCGCCTCTGGAGAGCTGGGATTGGACGGCAGCTCTGACCTCACCTCCAGTGTGGGCTGGCAGCTGTCGAAGCTCCTCTGCTCACTGAAAACACTGACGCACACGACAAACACGTTGAAGACGCTGTTCAGCACAAGTCACTGTCGCTAATACAACTTTACCTTCGCTGGTTATGTTTCTCTGTTTGACTGTCGATGCTCAGCAGACGAGGAAAAAGCCCCGAGCGTCGCTTCACAGGAGACCTGACGTTACACTGACAACACACACACACACACACACACACACACACACACACACACACCAGCTGTTAACACAACCCGACACATGATCATGAGCAAAGAAAAGAGGAAGACGACTGTGACCTCTGCTCACCTCGATGCTCATGTGTGCCAGACCCCCCCCACTCAGACTGGTGGGCAGACCCGCCACGCCCCGCGACATCGTCTCCATGGAGACGCTCCGTCCTCGCATCGCCCTCTGAGACGGGTGAAGAGTGTGGAAGAGTCAGAAACATGATAATAATATAATTAACATCATATAAAAAAATAACATGACAGCTCGTTAGAGTGAAGTCATTTTAATCGCCCCCTGGTGGACGGCTGCAGTAAAGGTCATAAACCCTCCCTCCTCTATGTTAGCAGACGGGACACGTAGAGTACAAACCTTGATGGACTCCAGCAGTCCTCCGTGGGGGTGTCCGTTCTCAGCTCGACCCTCCTCCTCCAGACCTGAAGTAATACCCAGCATGCTCTGGGAGCGTCTATGCAGCTCATCGTGGAGGCTGTCCAGCAGGGCGGCGCGAGTACGCTCCTGAAAGAACATACAGTACATACGTTCATTGCAAAAATGATTCAGTGGCTCCAAGTTTGTCCTTCAGGTGTTTTTACCTCCAGTCGGGCGAAGCGGTCGCTCTTGTAACAGGCGAACTCTGCGTTGATGAGTTTAGTGAGAAGAAACTCTCTGAACTCTGGACCCTGAACAAAAACACTGAACAATTACAAGTTTGACATCTTATTTCAGGCTTTACCAAAAGAAACATGAAAACACAGTGCACCTTCTTAAAGATGGCAGGATTTGGGAGGGGCGGTCCAAACGGAGGGACATCTTCTCGTGCTGTGACGGACACCTGTCAATCACAACAGTTTCTACTGAAAAAGATCACAGGTTTGAATCTCAGTCGCACTGACACATGCACACAATCAGATCCCCTCGTGCACGTGTCAGAGTTGTGTTCAGTGACTTTATCCAGTTTGAAGTCACATTTTTATGATGCATGTTTTAGATCTTGTTGGTTTTTAACTTTATATTTGAAGCAGATGAAGAATTTTAGTCGTCGGACGAGTGGATCTGAAGTTTTCAGAGAGACGAGCTGAGCAGCTCGACTCATCAGACCCGAGTCAGAGGATGGTTTTGAGAGGAGGACACATGGAGAATTCAGCTCCTGATAAAAACCTACAGAGACTACAACTCCCATCATCCCACGCTGCCCCACCACGACAACAAACTATGTATGTTGTTATTTGTTGCGATAGAGATGCCCCCTAGTGGTGGTAAATTACGTATTGTGTCTTTAACTGGTTCTTGTGTCTCAGTTTAAGCACCAAAGAGAAACGTTTCTCCATTAACAGACTGGTTTCTGATCACTCAGCTGGAAAGTAAGTGGACAGGTAAATATGTGAAATATTTGTACCTTGTAGCGGGTGTTGTCCGAGCAGGGCTCGTCCACCTGCACCACGATGAAGGCGTGCAGGAAGTTAGAGGCGATCATGTCGGGGACGAACGGCGTGGCTTCTTCTTGGAACACCATCGCCACAATGTCATTTCCTATGTGACGTTTCCTCTGAAGCTGAAGACGTTTTATTTTCACTTTATTGACATTATACTGTGACATCACGTGTTACAGTGTCACATACATTAATGACTCGTGTTGTGTGTGATCTCTCTGGTCGTCGTGTTTTCTACCTGTTGTGCGTCTCCCTCAAGGAAAGGCAGTTTGGTGGAGACGTGGAACATGATCTCCTGTTGTCTGTGGACGGTGAAGACGGACTGAGAACCCGTCTGACCATGGGACACGTCCAGACCCCCCCGAAACCTGTACAGAGAGAGGACGATTGTCTTCTCTATTAATTAATCAAACAATTATTTTGTCATAATTTAAACAATCATATCTTTTTCATTGTTGGTTGTGACTCTGACCCTTTAAAGTCCAGCAGCTCGACTGTGTCTCCGAGCAGCTGCAGAAACTCTGTGAACGCTGGCGTCTCCTCGTTGTTCCTGAACAGCTCCTCCTCCAACACCTGACAGACACGTGACACACCAACATGTCTTCATCACATGTTGTGAGGTGAACACGTGATGAAGACCTCCTCAACAGAAGTCCCTGATTGTGATGTCACATGGTACCTGTCCAAATCTCTGGAAAATGACTCCAAACTTGAACGTGTTGTTGACCTGGTGCTCGTCATAGTTGATGATCAGCTGCGACGCCTGGAGACAGTTTGATAAAATCAGTCCGACATGACGACGTTAGAGGAACGAAGACAGAAGGCGTGGAGGTGGAGCTCACCTTCGGGTAGAGGACGGGACTGAACCTCAGATCTGTGGCTTCATCACACAACAGCTGAAGACGATGTTACAAAGACAAAGTTTAGACTCACAAACAGCTGTGTTTACCTGTGTGTGTGTGTGTGTGTGTGTGTGTGTGT